ACTTCAGTGATATACAGCTATATTACATGTCGTATAGGTCAGTTATATACAGCTATATTACATGTCGTATACGTCAGTGATATACAGCTATGTTACATGTCGTATAGGTCAGTTATATACAGCTATATTACATGTCGTATATGTCAGTGATATACAGCTATATTACATGTCGTATACATCAGTGATATACAGCTATATTACATGTCGTATATGTCAGTGATGTACAGCTATGTTACATGTCATATACGTCAGTGATATACTTCAGTTGCTACACATGGAGATGGCTGGTTGATACAAACATGTTGCTAAGCAACGGTGCAGGACACTAATAAGTTCTGGGAGGGACAGACGACGCAGGGCAGCATGCTAGTAGCCAGTGCAGCCACAGAGGGGAAAACTGAAGCTGGACTGACGCTGTAGGGGAGGAAGCGAGCCACGCTAGCAACAACACACACGCAGGGGCTAGAAGGGCGGCCGGCACGTTACCGCTTATGTCAGACGATACTGTCCACTACAACACAGAAAGGTCACACTGGTCGGCAACTCCTTGTGCATGCATGGTTTTACACTGAAGACATGTATAAACCACCTTACCTCTAGACTAGGGACCGACCATTTGACATTTGGGGGGCCTGAGACTTTATCGAAAAAAATAATTTGTAGCAGAAAATGCTTGTAAAAATTAATCATGTTGAATGAAATTGTCTGCTACAAAAAACATATTTCATTTTTTATAAATTTAGGCTCGTAGTTTCAATTTTTTATTTTCCGTCTCCTTTCGCAGCTGTAGCTGAACAAATATTTGTCTCCAAACGGAATCCCAGGCCCCCGACAAGAATATAAAATGGTCGGTCCCTTAGGCATTGTCAGATTTGTTGCTCTGAATAATGGAGCTTGTTTTGTGGACAATAGTCCACAATAACTTTCCATCAGGCATTACCTTGTTGTTCAGTCGAAACTGAAAGTGTGTACATTAAAAAAGATCGGATCACTTCAGTGGGTATTTTTTCACCTTTTGGAATATTTCAAATGCTTGTGTGACATGTTGTGTATGTTAAATGTTGTGTCGTTTATACCAACTCAGGAAATCCTTGCACACAGGTGTTCGTGTGTTATTTGACGCCTAAATATGCAGTATCCTGATATACTACAGTACCACTTTTCATTTTCAAGGTATAGTTTGGTAATGCATATTAAATATGACTATGAAAATTGATGTAAATAAGTCTGTTTTGTACCACTTAATGTGAGGTGTCTGTATAATCTGTGCATGCTTCAATGAAAGTTTTGTATGTTTGTTTGTTGTTTAAAACCGTACTCAGCAATATTCCAGCTATATGACATCGGACTGCAAATAATCCAGTCTAGGTCAGTCAATCCTGTGATTGACATCATGAACATTGATCCGTGTAATTGGGATACAATGACATGCATCAACCAAGTCAGCGAGCCCGCCCACCCGATCCTGTTAGTCGCCTCTTACGATAAGCAGTCGCCTCTTACGATAAGCAGTCGCCTTCAGTGAGTGAGTGAGTGAGTGAGTGAGTGAGTGAGTGAGTGAGTGAGTATGGTTTTACAAACTCTTTCTCAACATTCTAGCTCAAACCTCGGACGTCTCTTATTCATCTGATCATGTCTCACGATAATAGACAACTGACTTCTCTTATTCATCTGATCATGTCTCACGATGATAGACAACTGACGTCTCTTATTCATCTGATCATGTCTCACGATGATAGACAACTGACGTCTCTTATTCATCTGATCATGTCTCACGATGATAGACAACTGACGTCTCTTATTCATCTGATCATGTCTCACGATGATAGACAACTGACGTCTCTTATTCATCTGATCATGTCTCATGATGATAGACAACTGACGTCTCTTATTCATCTGATCATGTCTCACGATGATAGACAACTGACGTCTCTTATTCATCTGATCATGTCTCACGATAATAGACAACTGACGTAACTGGAATATATTTGCTATGTCAACATAAAACAGTTTGAGTACAATACGGTACTGTGATGTGTATTAAAACAATCTTAACAAACATTGACCACTTAGAATCCATTGTGCTTAAATCTACTCCCTCTATACTATGGGGGGCGGTGGGGTAGCCTAGTGGTTAAAGCGTTGGCTCGTTACATCAAAGGCCCGGGTTCGATTCCCCATATGGGTACAACTTGTGAAGCCCATTTTCTGGTGTGCCCCGCTGTGATATTTCTGGAATATTGCTAAAAGCGGCATAAAACCATACTCGCTCACTTTATACTATGGACTTGATCAGTGTGCAAGGCTTGAAGTGAAACCTTGAATCTCTAACCTCATGAGTTTGCTATATTGTACAGCAGGGGAAAAAATTAGAACTAGCCAGCTAGTCCTGACTAGCTCTGTAATGTTGAAGGTATTATAAGGGTTTGTAGAATTTCAAACATTTCAGGGGGTATTGCTACATGTTGACTTTCTTGGTTAATTTTTATCCCCAGTATAAGGTGGGATATACTTATAACATCCCTACCAACCCCACTCCAAACCCCAAATGACATGAACATACAGACATTGACGACAAAACCGTCCCTTTTTGTTATTGAAACAGTTGTGTATTTGTCATTTGGGCCAATACCAACCCATAGGGTCAAAATCAAAATGTGCACCACCAACCCACAGATTCTTGATCCATCTCTGCTCATGGTGCTCTGATATTGGAACTTGAGTTGCCATGACTACAAATACCTCCAAACAGTGTGATGGTAGACAGGACTTGAGTTGACAAGGCTTCACTGTAGCAGAATATTGCTGACAGGGACTCAAGCCGCTGATATTCACGTGTGTGTTGTTTGTTTATTGTGGAATCAAGGCATCACTATTCACATGTGTGTTTGTTTATTTTAGAATGAAGGAGTAGAAATTCAGATGTGTGTTGTTTGTTTATTGTGGAATCAAGGCATCACTATTCACATGTGTGTTTGTTTATTGTGGAATCAAGTTGTTCATATTCACGTGTGTGTTGTTTGTTTATTGTGGAATCAAGGCATCACTATTCACATGTGTGTTTGTTTATTTTAGAATCAAGGAGTTGATATTCACATGTGTGTTGTTTGTTTATTTATAGAATCAAGGAGTTGATATACATATGTGAGTTTGTTTGTTTATTTATAGAATCAAGGAGTTGATATACATACCGTATTCGACGTAATAAGCGCCCCGCTCTAATAAGCGCCCACGGCAACATTTGCTAATATATTGGCTAGTGAACAATCCCAATTAGCACCCCTTCCGATTGATCAATGCTCACAAGACTTATTTATTCGCGTACATTACGCACTCGTGTGTCATATGCACCCTTAATTATGGGCAATTAAATTCTAGAAAAATATTTCTGTCATACATAAACATTTCAGGCTGTCAGCATAAACCACGAAATTTATCTTTCAACTCTGTTTTTTTTCACCAAAATAATATTCTAATAAGAGCCCCCTATTTCTAATTTTGAGAGCGCCCTGAGCGCTTATTACGTCGAATACGGTATGTGAGTTTGTTTGTTTATCATAGAATCAAGGAGTTGATATTCACATGTGAGTTTGTTTGTTTATTTATAAAATCAAGGAGTTGATATACATATGTGAGTTTGTTTGTTTATTTATAGAATCAAGGAGTTGATATACATATGTGAGTTTGTTTGTTTATTTATAGAATCAAGGAGTTGATATACATATGTGAGTTTGTTTGTTTATTTATAAAATCAAGGAGTTGATATACATATGTGAGTTTGTTAGTTTATCATAGAATCAAGGAGTTGATATACATATGTGAGTTTGTTAGTTTATCATAGAATCAAGGAGTTGATATACATATGTGAGTTTGTTAGTTTATCATAGAATCAAGGAGTCGATATTCACGTGTGTGTTGTTTGTTTATTATAGAATCAAGTCGCTGATATTTACATGTGTGTTGTTTGTTTATTATGGAATCAAGCAGTTAATATTAAGAAGTGTGTTGTCTGTTTATCATAGAATCAAGCAGTAGAAATTCAGATGTTTGTTGCTTGTTTATTTATAGAATCAAACAGTCGATATTCACATGCGTCTTGTTTGTTTTTTATAGAATCAAGGAGTTGATATTCACATGTGTCTTGTTTGTTTTTTATAGAATCAAGGAGTTGATATTCACATGTGTCTTGTTTGTTTTTTATAGAATCAAGCAGTCGATATTCACATGTGTCTTGTTTGTTTTTTATAGAATCAAGGAGTTGATATTCACATGTGTCTTGTTTGTTTTTTATAGAATCAAGCAGTCGATATTCACATGTGTGTTGTTTGTTAATCATAGAATCAAGCAGTCGATATTCACATGTGTTTTTTTTTTTGTGTGTGGAATCAGGCAGTAGAAATTCACATGTGTGATGTTTGTTTATTGTGGAATCAAGCAGTCGATATTCAGATATGTCTTGTTTGTTTATTATAGAATGAAGGAGTTGATAATCACATGTGTGTTGTTTGTTTATAAAAGAATCAAGCTGTACAAATTCAGATGTGTGTTTGTTTTTTATAGAATCAAGTAGTTGATAATCACATGTGTGTTTGTTTGTTTATCATAGAAACAAGCAGTCGATAATCACATGTGTGTTTGTTTGTTTATCATAGAAACAAGCAGTCGATATTCACATGTGTGTTTGTTTGTTAATCATAGAAACAAGCAGTCGATATTCACATGTGTGTTTGTTTGTTAATCATAGAAACAAGCAGTCGATAATCACATGTGTGTTTGTTTGTTTATCATAGAAACAAGCAGTAGAAATTCAGGTGTGTTGTATATTTAACTTTTGAAATGCCACAGAAAGAAGCTAGGAGAGTAACGGAGTCACACAACCAGTACATGGGACGCCACGGACTTGCAGCAGACGTACAAACACAGCGACACTCCCAGAGGCAGATGTGCACTACACCAAGATGGGATCCACCATATTTACAAGAGAAAAAAGCAACAGGTACCCTGTACATTTCATACAACTGTCTCTTGTATGTCATGTTCGCACTCCAGGCTGAAACATGAGACAATACGAGAAGGAAGTCATTAAGGCACTGGAGGACAGAGACAGAACTCACGAAGCTGTAGGACGTAAAGAGAGAGAACTCATGCTCTTAAAAGAATTTCTTCATTAAAAGTATCTAAGGCATGAATACACTTAAAGTATGCTTGGCAAAAATGTTTTTTTATAAATAGAACTGGTATTGAATAAGCATGCCTGTCCTTAAGGTAACAATGAAGGATCTTGAAGCCTGATTGATCCATTATTGACTTGTACTGTAGGTCTAGTATTCATTTCTTGTACAACTTGATGTGCACACATGCCTCTGTGCATAAAGCACATTAATATGACCGCTTATGTTGCCTGAATGATGATCGTATTGCAGAGGCGCTCAGAGCTGTTACACTTGAGTCTTGTCGTGTCACAGATTGCCTGGTTTGATCTACAGGGGACCTTTGTTTATACATTACAAATACACGTTCTCCTGTGTTATATATCTCCTGTAAAGCGGCAGGCTATTTCTGTTCATGGGGGGCTTGGTTTGTAAACCGGGAGTCCTAGGAAATTTATTTTCATTTCGACAAATTCCTTTTGTCTGTCAATTCAAATTTTGTTATGAATATAAATTAATAGCAGTTAAAGTAAATGATAACTCGGATTACAATGTCTCAGTTTCTCACAAATATAACGTATATCGCTGTCTATAAAGCGATCCCACCTAAAAGGTGACCCCCCTGTCAAAACCTTCAAAATCGATGCTAATTAATACACCCCGATTTGATTACAATGACTCCGCCCTTAAACCAGAAATGGGTATATGATCAATGAACAGGGACCTCCTTTCAATTAATGACCTATTACACAGCTATTTCAATTAATGACCTATTACACAGCTATTTCAATTAATGACCTATTACACAGCTATTTCAATTAATGACCTATTACACAGCTATTTCAATTAATGACCTATTACACAGCTATTTCAATTAATCACCTATTACACAGCTATTTTAACATTTTACGCATTATCAAGTTGACAAACTAACATCTCAATTGCTATATGTTAATGTCTTAATGGTCCTCGGCTTACAAGGCTACTAGAAGAGTTCGCAAGTCTCAAGGGAAGTTTGAAGCACCCTCAGCAGTATTCCAGCTCTAGCAGCCTTTAAATAATCAGGTTTGGATCAGACAATCCAGTGTTTGATATTATGAGCAACGCCCAATGCCATCGGTGTACAGTGACATGCAACCAACCAAGTCACTTAGCCTCGTCCGTGTAGTCACCTCTTACAACAAGCATAAGTTGCTTGGGACCTATTCTAACTCGGCATCCCTACATGGGCAGGGTGGTGAGGTGAGGTGAAGTGAGGTGAGGTGAGGTGAGGTGAGGTGAGGTGAGGTGAGGTGAGGTGAAATGGGGTTCAACGTCACGTCCAAGATTATTGCACTTATATAGCGACGTGCATGCACATGTGTGTGTGGCTGCTTGTACTGGTCCAGACTGATGCTGATTTATAGTGCTAGCCCACTGAGATACCATGCCACAGTTAACATGTATACCCCACTCAGACACAGTATACTGACTCCGAGCCAACCAGTCCTTGTTTTCGCCCCTTAATGTCGAGCGCCAGACAGGGTAACAACAAGTATCATCTTTAAGCGTCTTATGGTTTCACGCGGCCGGGGATCAAACCCCAGACCTTGGGCTCTCCGGGCGGGCACTCTACCACTAGACCATGGAGGCGGTCTCCATGAGGGGAAGCATCTTTGATCCTAGTCAAACAAAGCATGGCTTCAGAAGTGCATTGGCTTAGTTTGATCCTGGTTATAACTCCCCTATCTACATGTATCGCCTTTGTGACATAATATTGGGGACTTATCTCCCATGTGACGTAATGCTAGGGACTTATCTCCCTTGTGATGTAATGCTAGGGACTTATCTCCCTTGTGAAGTAATGTTGTGGACTGTTCTCCCTTTTGAAGTAATGTTGGGGACTTATCTCCCTTGTGACGTAATGCTAGGGACTTATCTCCCTTGTGATGTAATGCTCGGGACTTATCTCCCTTGTGAAGTAATGTTGGGGACTTATCTCCCTTGTGAGGTAATGTTGGGGACTTATCTCCCTTTTGACGTAATGCTAGGGACTTATCTCCCTTGTGACGTAATGCTAGGGACTTATCTCCCTTGTGAAGTAATGTTGGGGACTTATCTCCCTTGTGAGGTAATGTTGGGGACTTATCTCCCTTGTGACGTAATGTTGGGGACTTATCTCCCTTGTGAGGTAATGTTGGGAACCTATCTCCCTTGTGACGTAATGTTGGGAACTTATCTCCCTTGTGACGTAATGTTGGGGACTTATCTCCCTTGTGACGTAATGTTGGGGACTTATCTCCCTTGTGACGTAATGCTAGGGACTTATCTCCCTTGTGAAGTAATGTTGCAAGCTCCTTCCCAGCGTGTGACACCTTCGTTACACTCTGGGTAACACCAGTGCGGGCCTGGCCATTACAAGAATCTTGAAATTTACCCTCTAACCCCAAATGTAGTCACTTCATACTTTTGTTTATGTGTTTGGGAATGCCATCATACTTCGTTTTGAAAAGGTTTACGACTGACCATGTTTTCCAAATGAATTTACTTTGTTGTTTGTATAATCAAATTGGTTCAAGATTGCAGACTAACGGAAAATCAACCAACTTCTCCCTTACATTCTTAATTTATCAATTACATGATAGTTTTAATGAAATAGAAATTTAAATTGACAAACAAAAACAGTAATTTAGCAGGGATAAGTGTATTCAGCGTCAGGACAGTCATCACTTGTTTGTAAACATAATGGTCAATCGGCTGCAAGTTCAAATCCAAGCATGGTTGTGGGGAGTTTTGACTGGTGGCAGCGATAGTATAGAGAGCTCCGCGAACAGGATATCGCTGTGAGGAGCTTGGTAATGTTTGGGACTTATCTCCCTTGTGACATAATGTTGGGTAATTGTCTCCCTTGTGACGTAATGTTGGGTAATTGTCTCCCTTGTTAAGTAATGTTGGGTGATTATCTCCCTTGTTAAGTAATGTTAGAAAATTATATTCCTTGTGAAGTAAAGTTGGGTAATTATCTCCCTTGTGACGTAATGTTGTGTAATTGTCTCCCTTGTTAAGTAATGTTGGGTGATTATCTCCCTTGTTAAGTAATGTTGGGTAATTATCTCCCTTGTTAAGTAATGTTAGGAAATTATATTCCTTGCGAGTGAGTGAGTATGGTTTTACGCCATTTTAGCAATATTCCAGCAATATCACGGCGGGGGACACCAGAAATGGGCTTCACACATTGTACCCATGTCGGGAATCGAACCCGAGTCTTCGGCGTGACGAGCGAAGGCTTAAACCACTAGGCTACCCGACAGCCCCTATTCCTTGTGAAGTAATGTTGGGTAATTATCTCCCTTGTGACGTAATGTTGGGTAATTGTCTCCCTTGTGACGTAATGTTTGGTAATTGTCTCCCTTGTTAAGTAATGTTGGGTGATTATCTCCCTTGTTAAGTAATGTTAGAAAATTATATTCCTTGGGAAGTAATGTTGGGTATTTATCTCCCTTGTGACGTAATGTTGGGTAATTATCTCCCTTGTTAACTAATGTTAGGAAATTGTATTCCTTGTGAAGTAATGTTGGGTAATTGTCTCCCTTGTTAAGTAATGTTGGGTGATTATCTCCCTTCAGAAGTAAAGTTGCAAGTTCCTCGTAGCGATGTCCCGTTTGCAAAGCTCTATATACTATCGCAGACACCAGTCACAGCACCCGACTGTGATAGGTGGCTACAACCATGCTTGGCGTTGAACTCGCAGCCGACCATATTCAATTCTAGTGGGCATAATATGGCTTCGAATATGGCTATGGCTATTTGCCCTGTGTAAGCTCCGAGATGAATTGACTAAATCTAAAGATCTAGAATTAGCATGGATAATATACAATCTGGATTAGATGGATATCCTTGCATTTCAAACCAAGGAGCCTGTTCCACGGACAAGCTTGTTTCTCATGCAACAACACTTGTGCTTCCTGCCTTAAACCAGCCACAAGGGCCTGTTACAAGGGTAATGTAAATGCTCTGTTACCACGACAACGTACACCGCTGCGACCCTGGCGGTGACCTTGGAAGGGGTTTGTTATTTAGTACAGTGTCCAAACGCTCTTGAATTTCCAACGTGATTTTAGGAACAAACTGGCAAGGGTAAAAAATGGAAAAGTGATTAAACAAACCTGATGTTGAGTAGTAAGCCAAATAATGACTTGCCTGTTGGCAGTGTTAGTGTGTAGGAGTGACGGCTATGTTTGGGAGACAGAGGGAATGTTATTAATTCGATTCCTACATACCAATATCTTGAAACCTGGTGACTTTTTCAGCATGATGAAAAAAATATTTTTCATCATAGACGTAAACAGAAATATAGCATATGTTAAATCAGAAATTTTTGACAACAGAGATTTGGGACAGGGTAGTCGTAGGGGGCATTAATAATACTGTGAAGATTTTTCCTTATTGAAAGACTCAATAATAATAATAATAATAATAATAATAATGATAATAATGATAATAATAATAATAATAATAGCCTAACCAGCCTTACTGTGCCAGGATCACCCAAGCCCTCTTTGATGCATTTTTTATTTTAATCTGTACATGATAATAATAATAGGCTATTAAAATTGCGCATGTTTCTACACCCCTCGGGGGCATGCTCAAAGCGCTAGCATTACCCCGGTCACTGGGTCAATGTGCACTCAAGAATCATTCTCAACTCCCTGGGACAACAGTGCAGTACCAGAAAGACACAGTCAGATACAAATTTACAGTAAATGAAAATGGCTATTTGTAAATACCGGAACATGGGACGAGACAAACAATGCTTTCTGCAAAGGAAGTCACAAGGTTTCAAACTATTTCAGTCCATGAAACTTAAATGTTACTAAACTCCTCACTTGTTAACAGTAAGCTTGAAGGTATGCCATTATTTAGATGAACTACGGTAACAGGTGTGAGGAACAGCACATGAGAAATAACTTCATGAGGACATGAATCACAGCAACCACACTTCAAACAAATGCAAAATACACTTGAAATGCCAGAACCAGGGAACCGTCCATCACCAGGAGTCTAGATACCGAAACGGTTGGGAATCCAGAAATCCCAATTCCAAAGCTTGTAGTTGGTGTAGTTTCAAAAAAGAAAGAAGTCACGCCCAATTTCTATAGAAACTAATACCAAAAATATCTAAAAATAAGTTTAATTACAAAAAGGTGAAAAGAAATATGTAAAAGGATTTCTGGAAAAAATTGCGATTTTTTTCGTTCTTACCCTAAATGCCATAAAAAATGTGCAAAATAGCCTGCACCTATGAAAAGTGTTTTTCACACTTTCTTAACAGATTGTCGATTAACTGTCAATGAATTACTTCCCTGGTTCTATAAAATTCAACTAGTAAAACTCTACATGTCATTAACAGTGACTGACAGGCTGGCAATTTGTGCAGTTTCAAATAAGCAAGAACTCATGTAGTCCACGTGATCAGCTTAGCAGTGTCATCAGCTTGTGAACAGCAAAGAAAGTACATGCAGTGAATCACACACAGCGAGAGTGGGCGCCCCACCAGGCAAAGGGAGGTAACTCTTACCTGCAGGGCCTGGATGTCCTCGTACAGCTGATCAACATTGGAAGCTCCAAGGAGGACACAGTGAACATTCTCACTCTTAACACACCACGCTGGAGACGAGAAAACAGGCATTGGGTTGGATCAGCGGACAGGTCAAATAGCAAAACAGATTACGTAATTTGAAATAATTTTCTGCTCCCAAACTGGTCAATGTGGAGGTAAAAGTTGAGGTCAATGTGGAGGTCAATGTGGAGGTCAATGTGGAAGTCAAAGTTGAGGTCAATGTTGAGGTCAAAGTTGAGGTCAATGTTGAGGTCAAAGTTGAGGTCAAAGTTGAGGTCAATTTTGAGGTCAGAGTAATTATGGTTGAAGTGAATTGAGGACATAACTAAGGGATCTGATCATAAGATGAAAGATTGTGATATTGCCGGAATATTGCTAAAAGCGGCGTACAATAATACTTACTCACTCACTCACTCACTCATAATCCCATTTATTCTCTGTTTACATTGTTTATATGTTTCCTGCAGCAGTCAGCAAATTTCCAAAGATATCAGGGCGGCCTGTAAATATTCAAACCATATCAGGGCGACCTGTAAATATTCAAACCATATCAGAAACCCATGTTTGTCGTAAGAGGCGATGAACAGGATCGGGTGGTCAGGCTTGCTGACTTGGTTGATGCATGTCATCATATCCCAATTGTGTGGATCGATGCTTATGATATCAATCACTTAATTGTCTGGTCCAGACTCTATTATTTACAGACCACCATCAAATAGCTGGCTTATTGCTAAGTGTGGCGTGACCCAACCAACAAGACAACCCATGATCTACAGCCCAGTCTAGATGTTGTAATGAACGTGGAACATAATCGTGTGAATTTACAAACTTTACAAGTTTTGAACTTGCTGGGACTGCAGATTGAAGTGCTTCAAGCCCCCCTTTAAGATTAGGTCTAGGACTGCAGGTTGAAGTGCTCCAAGTCCCCCTTTAAGACTAGGTCCAGGACTGCAAGTTGAAGTGCTCCAAGCCCCCCTTTAAGATTAGGTCTAGGACTGCAGGTTGAAGTGCTCCAAGTCCCCCTTTAAGACTAGGTCCAGGACTTCAAGTTGAAGTGCTCCAAGACCCCCTTTAAGATTAGGTCTAGGACTGCAGGTTGAAGTGCTCCAAGTCCCCCTTTAAGACTAGGTCTAGGACTGCAAGTTGAAGTGCTCCAAGCCCCCCTTTAAGACTAGGTCTAGGACTGCAAGTTGAAGTGCTCCAAGCCCCACTTTAAGACTAGGTCCAGGACTGCAAGTTGAAGTGCTCCAAGCCCCCCTTTAAGATTAGGTCTAGGACTGCAGGTTGAAGTGCTCCAAGTCCCCCTTTAAGACTAGGTCTAGGACTGCAAGTTGAAGTGCTCCAAGCCCCACTTTAAGACTAGGTCCAGGACTACAAGTTGAAATGCTCCAAGCCCCCCTTTAAACCTATTTCTATTCCCACCTATGGCGAGCTGTGCTATAGAACAGCCTAGTCTAGACTTGCTGGGATTGCAAGTCGAAGTGCACCAAGCCCCCCCCCCTTTAAGCTTGTCTAGGACTGCTGGTATTCCCACCTATGGCGAGCTGTGCTATAGAACAGCCTAGTCTGTCAGCAATCACCGCCACCTCTCTCAATTTGGCCTGCTGTCGTCGTCCATCTTCGCTTAGCACTTTATCCTTCAACCAGCTGTAGCCCTGAAAGCATCAGTAATTCACAGAATAAGATGCATTGTTCAAAGATGAAGACGTAAATAATGAAAACTCAGACATGAAGTGAAGGTTCTCCTCAAATCTCATTACAATGAACATTTTATATCTTGGCAATTTTTGTTAGGTTTTGCAGTTATTGCTTCAGGACATGAAAGTACTTTCTCTGAAAGAAGGAACTGATTATTTTTTATTCAATACACATTTCATTCAGGACAGCATATTGGAGGCAACATATTTTGTTCAGTATTTTCTATAACAAATTATTTTTTCAAAAACCAATATTTGAAGCCTTCAAGATAGTAAATGGTTGTTACCTTGAGGGCAGCCCTGGAGTAGATGGGAACACCGTCATCGTACTTCCCCGTGAGGATCCCACTGGCAAGAGGGGACCACGTGACTGTCCCGATACCTGGAACAAGCAGTGAGTCACTATCGTAGTATCAACAGTGTCATAGTATCAACAGCGTCACAGTATCAACAGTGTCATGGTATCAACAGTGTCATGGTATTAACAGTGTCGTAGTATCAACAATGTCGTAGTATCAACAGTGTCATAGTATCAACAGTGTCATAGTATCAACAGTGTCATGGTATCAACAGTGTCACAGTATCAACAGTGTCATAGTATCAACAGTGTCATGGTATTAACAGTGTCGTATTATTAACAGTGTCGTATTATCAACAGTGTTGTAGTATCAACAGTGTCATGGTATCAACAGTGTCATAGTATCAACAGTGTCATTATATCAACAGTGTCACAGTATCAACAGTGTCATAGTATTAACAGTGTCATGGTATCAACAATGTCATGGTATCAACAGTGTCACAGTATCAACAGTGTCACAGTATCAACAGTGTCATGGTATCAACAGTGTCATGGTATCAACAGTGTCACAGATTCAACAGTGTCATGGTATCAACAGTGTCATGGTATCAACAGTGTCACAGTATCAACAGTGTCACAGTATCAAAAGTGCCATAGTATCAACAGTGTCACAGTATCAACAGTGTCATAGTATCCACAGTGTCATGGTATCAACAGTGTCATGGTATCAACAGTGTCATGGTATCAACAGTGTCATAGTATCAAAAGTGTCACAGTATCAATAGTGTCACAGTATCAACAGTGTCATGGTATCAACAGTGTCTTGGTATCAACAGTGTCAAGGTATCAACAGTGTCATGGTATCAACAGTGTCACAGTATCAACAGTGTCACAGTATCACAGTATCAACAGTGTCATAGTTCAACAGTGTCACAGTATCAACAGTGTCATAGTTCAACAGTGTCACAGTATCAACAGTGTCATGGTATCAACAGTGTCATAGGATCAACAGTGTCATGGTATCAACAGTGTCATAGGATCAACAGTGTCATAGTATTAACAGTGTCATAGGATCAACAGTGTCATGGTATTAACAGTATCAGTCATGTTCATGCTACAAAATAAAACACCAACAAAATATATGTTCATCACAATATCATAGTGAGTTAGTGAGTTGGGGTTATTGCCACTTCAGACAGTATTCTAGTTATATCACAGCGTGTCCGCTTAATGTGTGAGGAAAGCCCGAAGTGATGCAGGACTCAGATGTTCACCACTTCTGTGACATCCAAGAGCACGGTATGGTGCTGACAAACCTAGAAACATAATCGGTATGAACTGGGATTTGAACCCAGAACAAAGGTTTCTGGTGTGTCCAAGTGATGCAAATCCTAGGTGACAGTAGACCCTTCCAATTAACAGTAGACCCAACCAATTACCATTAGATCCTCCCAGTTAACATTAGACCAAACCAGTTAACAATAGACCCTTCGAATGAACAGTAGACCCAACCAGTTAACATTAGATCCTCCCAGTTAACATTAGACCCTTCCAATTAACAGTAGACCCTCCCAATTAACAGTAGACCCAACCAGTTAACATTAGACCCTCTCAATTAACAGTAGACCAAACCAGTTAACAATAGACCCTTCGAATTAACAGTAGACCCAACCAGTTAACAATAGACCATCCCAGTTAACATTAGACCCTCCTAGTTAACAATAGACCCTCCCAGTTAACATTAGATCCTCCCAGTTAACATTAGACTCTCTAAGTTGTTGTTAGACTCTCCGAGGCCACACAAGTGCCGGAAGCCCGCTGTAGACCCACCTATTTTATGGTATAGTTCTGGCATCTGTATTTCCACCTTCTCCCGCTGGAACAGATGGTACTCTGCCTGCTCCGCTACCGGAGGAATCAGGTTGAACTGCCTCGCCACTGAGTACGCCTCCTACAATCACAGAACACACATACAACGCTAGCGTGTTGGTCAGAGAGACATCCAAACACAGTGCCATCAACATAGGGTTGGTCGACAGTACATTTTCAGGTGGGATAAAATGTCTTGGGGCTAGTAGAGTCATGATTTGATGAAATCAGAGGCAAGATAAAGCTGATAACTGTTTTCCTGTGCACATGAAAGCTTCTACGTGCATGTTATTGATTGAAGTGTCATAAAATATCTTACTGGGCTCCATGCAAGACACCATTCCATTTAATAACTTTAGACACGGAGAAACTGTTGAATGTCATCGGTATGCCAACAATACTAATATCAACTATCTTACGTTGTTACCATCCAATCCACAGTTTAATCAGCGTGAACAAGCCTTGATACTTGGGGCTATTCTCATCGGCTTGTACTAGCATTGCTATTGGGGCTATTCTCATCGGCTTGTACTAGCATTGCTACTGGGGGCTATTCTCATCGGCTTGTACTAGCATTGCTACTGGGGGCTATTCTCATCGGCTTGTACTAGCATTGCTACTGGGGGCTATTCTCATCGGCTTGTACTAGCATTGCTACTGGGGGCTATTCTCATCGGCTTGTACTAGCATTGATACTGGGGGCTATTCTCATCGGCTTGTACTGGCATTGATACTGGGGGCTATTCTCATTGGCTTGTACTAGCATTGATACTGGGGGCTATTCTCATCGGCTTGTACTAGCATTGATACTGGGGGCTATTCTCATCGGCTTGTACTAGCATTGCTACTGGGGCTATTCTCATCGGCTTGTACTAGCATTGCTTCTGGGGGCTATTCTCATCAGCTTGTACTAGCATTGATACTAGGGCTATTCTCATCGGCTTGTACTAGCATTGATACTGGGGGCTATTCTCATCGGCTTGTACTAGCATTGCTACTTGGGGCTATTCTTACCGGCTTGTACTAGCATTGCTACTGGGGGCTATTCTCATCGGCTTGTACTAGCATTGATACTGGGGGCTATTCTTACCGGCTTGTACTAGCATTGCTATTGGGGCTATTCTCATCGGCTTGTACTAGCATTAATACTGGGGGCTATTCTCATCGGCTTGTACTAGCATTGCTATTGGGGCTATTCTCATCGGCTTGTACTAGCATTGCTACTGGGGCTATTCTCATCGGCTTGTACTAGCATTGATACTGGGGGCTATTCTCATCAGGAAGACAAAAGGGACAAAGACATGAGGGTACGGTACTTTTAATACTGGAAGATTTAATTTCTTAAGTTATGACCTGGAACCACCTACCATGATCTCCATGGGGCTCCAGCGGGATGTCCCCCAGTACATGGCCCAGCCGTGGTTGATGACATGGGTGAAAGCACGCACCACCTCTGTAACATCAAGAGGGATATAGTCAAGAGGGAGTGAGTGAGTTGGGTTTTTAACGCCACTTTTAGCAATATTCCAGCAATATCACAGCAAGGGACACCAGAAATTGGCTTCACACATTGTATCCATGGGGAATCAAACCCAGACCTTCAGTGTGAACGCTTTAACCACTAGGCTACCCCTAGTCAAGACCTTGCTTCCGGCTACGCCTGACACAGCTTCACCCAATTCAGACAAAAGTGACTGTTACAGAGCATCATCCACTTACATAAGGGGAGTGGGGACTTTCCTAAAGGAAAGAATATTTTGTCTGGTCACTGCTCCTTAATATGCAGTTGTTTCTCCGACAGAAGCTGCCAAACAAGTAGCAAAACCCAAGGGAATATTACTTTTTTCCAATTTTTGGATTTTCCATATTGATATTTTCTTAAAATGATTTCATTGTGTTTCACAGGTATGTATGTCTGTATATATGTATGTATGAATCATAATGTTTTGTCATTTCAAATATTGCATCTGTTCCCTAATGGAATGTTTTCTGCAATGAATATTATCCCATGCTATCCTATCTTGAAGTTACAGTAAACTACGGTTATAACAAAGTCAATTGGACCACCAATTTTAGTTCGTAATATCCGTTGTTCGTTGTACGCATTTCGACCATCAGATATCTTTTATCAAGTCATGTGACATCATGTTACTCGATAACTTATAAACAAGTGTGCACTGTACATGTACAGAATATATCCACTTCAATCACTGTGTTACTATTGTTAATTGAGGGTGTAGTGTCAGGACAAGGTGTCAGTACTTAAGAATACATCAATTACCTTCAATATTTATTGACGCTTTTACCAGCCGCGCTTTGCCGCAGTAGTTTTGATGGTCAGACTGGTGACAAGTGAGGAGCTCAGCTCAGGGATTAACAGTTCGTTATATAAACGGGACCACAAGATGAGTTCACCACATCGAACCGCATTACAAACCACCCTCAATCTAAACAAGGCTCTAACTCTAGAAGCAATACTAAACCCACAAAATAAACTAGAAAACTTCAAGGCCTTAGGCGTAATCTTAATAAAAACGGAACTAATAAAACGCATCTAAAAACACAATAACCTACCAAATCAAAATCACATAAACAAACAAACATCCACCATACCCAGCTCCCTTAGTTCTCCTCCCCAATCCCATCGGCATCTATTCCAAATCTCAAAATTCCCAAATTCTATATAAGCAACCCCTAAAACCCCCCTCTTGGGTTGCACAGACCACTTTCGCCCCTTTCAGAAACACATTAAATGGCCTGGCGGGGCCCGTGTGCGAAATACGCATCAGTCGGAAAGCGCACGTCAAATCTCCAAAGTAAGTAAGTAAGTAAGTATGAGTTCACTCTATCCGTTATTTCGTTATGAGCATGTTCGTTTTATCCATCAACTTTATATGATAAAATACAGTGGTCCCTCGCTACAATGCTACCAATGGGGTCCAAATAATTGGTGGGCGTTATAGACGATGAGCCGTTTAACCGAGGCCGAGGCGGGGGAGCGCGCTCGGCCAATCTCACGATCCTCGCCTTGTCTCGCACATTGCAATGATACAAGTTGTTTACCGTTCATAGTGTAAAAATATATATCCATTATGTTTTCGCCGTTTGTTATTATTTACAAGCCTTAACTGTCACATTCAAT